ATAAAAACTATACCATCTCAAAGATAGATGTAAAGTGGTGATCCCTCTAAAAAAAAGAAATCCAAGGGCCAAATCAAAGATAGATGTATAAGTGGTGATCCCTCAAAAAATATAATCTTCATGTAGAGATTATATATTTTAAACAGAATTAGATCCGAAATCCATCTAAAAAATGGATCAGAAACGTGCGATATTCGCTTGATAGTGGTCAACATGGTTCCTCTTGCCTATTTAAGGGACCAAAAAAATCAATTTATCAGTTTACATGTGATAGCTGTGGATCTTCACTATTAAAGGTTACAAGTCGTAAAGTTGGTGGCATTCCTATAATAATTTTCATAATACAGAGCATTCACATAACATATGCTTTAGAGAAGCCCAAGATATCTTAGTTGTTTTCCTTTCTAACACTTTTATGATGAATTTTTATTATGGGATTTTTGCTATATTTCTTGAGAGTTTTTATAAATATACGAGTACTGATACTATTCATGCCAAATGCCTAGTTAACAATGGCTGTACAGTTGGATTAAGACACAAATGCCTGGCTTTGCAAGTGGGCAAGCAAAATAGAAATAGCGCTATAGATGTATTCCAGCTTCTATTTCTTGGGACTTTGCTGAATTTCATTATTTTCTTATTTCTAGGAAAATTTCTCAAATTATCTCTAGAATTAAACAGAACTAGAGCTCACATGCCCACAGAATCATGTGTCCCTCATGGCCACAATGGTGACCCTGTTGAACTTTTGCATTGCCACAATGGTGACCCACAATTGTATTTTTTTAATTTTTTTAACATTTTCTGACCGTCCGGTACTTGCCTGGTTAGAGCGGTTGAATCAGTTGATTTACCGGTTAGACTTGTTAAACCGCTTTCAGGCCGTTGTCCGGTTAACCGTTCTGATTTGATTTTGCGAACACTGCTTTGACAGCACTAATAATGTGACAGGAGATCAGAAATGAGAAAACAAAACCATGCCAAAGTCCAAGGAGTGACATACTTTTCTTTCATGAAAGTAAACCTCCCAAGTAAACATGTAGCCTATTTTCTTGGTGTACAGAAAGTAGAAAACTCCTCCTTCGTCAACAGTGGTGAAGATAGCATATCTGATGTAAATATTCCACAATCGCCGACAAAGTTCTTGACCAAGTTGAAACTTCAACCAAACTGAAGTCAATACAACCATTGCGAAGTCCAAACCAAAAACAGGACTCTGATCAATGCGTCATGTACATTACTGGGTTCCCAAACAATCAAATAGAATCAAGGGGAATGACTCTTTGGATTCAATGGTTAAACTCGGAGGCACGAGTTGCTATTGCTGCTTTTTCGGTGTAGAATTTGCAACAAGGAAATGGTGGAGAGAGAGAAACGTCGTTCATGGTGCGCACGTCCATGGTGGGTTAACCAGTATCTCATTTGGATAATTCTGGTTTACCAAAGATTTATAGAGTTTTGATTTTTGTCTTTTAAAAAACACATCTCATTACAACATCAATCCCACAAAGCAGGAAACTCAATATCTTATAATCCACGGCATATAAAACTTAATATCTTGCTGCTATAATCGTCAACGCGCCCCCTCAAGTTGGTGCGTATATATCCACAGCGTCCAACTTGGACAGTATCTAATGGAACTTTGTCTTTATAATAGCTTTGGTAAACATGTCTATAAATTGGACTTCACTTCGAACATAAGAATAACTAAAATATTTTTTTTACATAACTTTTTCTCTCATAAAGTGATAATCAACTTCTATATGTTTTGTTCTTTTATGGAAGGCTGGATTGAAGGCTATATGCACACCTGCTTGATTATCATAGAACATCTCCATTGCATTGATTGTTGGGAATCCCATATTTTGAAGTAGTGATTTCAACCATATTAATTCACCTGTAGTTGTAGCCATAGCTTTATATTCGGCCTCTATACTAGATCGAGCAACTACATTTTGTTTTTTGCTTTTCCAATTAACTAAGTTTTCTCTGCCTAATGTACAATAGTCAGTAGTGGACCTCTTGTCAATTGGATTACCTGCCTAGTCAGCATCATAATAACCAATAACATTAGTGTAACCATTTCGTTTCATCAAAATACCTCTCCCAGGTGACAACTTAATGTATCTGAGAATCCTATTGGCCGCCTCCATGTGATATATTCTAGGAGCATACATAAATTGGGTCACATGGCAAACTGTATACATTATGTCTGGTTTTGTTACGTTCAAATAAATCAACATGCCCACAAGTATTTGAAAGCGACTCACATCTTCAAGAGGTTCACCATTTGTTGAATTAAGCAATATGTGTGTCAATAGGTATGACTTCTATTTTTTAAATTTCTTTCAACAGGTTTAAGACATATTTTCTTTGAGAAATAAGAGTCCCTTTTTTTAATGTGCTACTTCAATACCGATAAAATACTTTAGTTGATTAAGGTCCTTGATGTCAAATTTCTTGTGAATGTACTATTTAAGCTTCATGATTTTTTTTTATTTTACCTGTAATGATAATATCATCAACATAAATGAGTACAACTGTTATACATGAAGTTTCATTTTTTATGAACATCGAAGAATCAACTGAACTTCTAAAAAATCTGGCACTCATCAAAGCTAAGTTGAGTTTGGCATACTATGCGTATGATGATTGTTTAAGTTCATACAAAGCCTTTTGTAACTTGCATAGAAGACCTGTCTCATTTTCTTTGGAATTGCATAGGGAAAGACTTATATAGACTTCTTCTTCAAGATCATTATGTAAAAAAACATTTTTAACGTGAGATATTGAGAATGATTTGAGGTCATAGGGGCTACATTTTTTTCAATGATTTCGATCCCCCTTCTTTCCCCTCAAAGTAGCCATGATTTAGCCAAAGCATACCCTTGATAGATATACCGTTTGAAAGCATGTAACAAGGAACGACATACTGAAATTTGAGCCCATTTGATTATTGCATCTGAGATATATTGCTTCATGAGCTTTCCGAAATTTTTTTTGTGGTTGTTGTAACTCACATAGCCTACTGGGCCATATAGTTTACTACAGTCTTTTAAGAAAAAGATTGATGGTCCATTTGTGGTCTGTCGAAGGGATCCTTAGAACAGGTATTTTTTGGCATCAAATCGGGCTGAAATTTAGTAGATATGATTTTCTTAGTTTTTTCTTTCCATATAATTTCTAGCCACTTTGGCGGCTGATTTCTCAAGGATTTGTTGTAAAAGTAAACCGAATAGTGTGCACCCTCATTGAGTTTTACAGCTGTAACAGTCATATCTCATTCATTTGACCTCGGATCGAGTTCAAATTTGAAACTTAGCCCTTTCATACCATATCTTCCTTAAAAATTGAAGGAAATTTGGATCTATATTTGGTGGGGTCCCTTTGTAAATAATGTCAGTCTGCCTTGAAATTTTGAACTTATCATATCCATATCTCTACGACCCAAAATCGAATCGGCCTCAAATTTAAGCTTTTCACCATGGTTTCTTCTTTCTATAAAAATATTGGACCATTTGCACACAACTTCCCTAGGGTTGCTTTATAAATGTAGGGCCATTTTATGGCATCACATATGCGTTCTCAACTCACCAAATGCACATATTTATCATCCGGGTTTGGTTTGAACTGAAATTTGGCGGATGGCCTAATGGTGCCTCAAATTCAACTTTGCGAAACTGGAATTGGGTTTTCAAGTAAATTTGACAGAGGCTTGACCATACTGTACTCTAAACCATTTGATCATCGATCTAAGGGTTTGACGGATGGCCTAATGGTGCCTCAAATTAAAATTTTGGAATACTGGAATGGGGTTTTCAAGTAAATTGGACCAAGGTTTGACCATACTATGCTCTAAGCCATTTGATCATCGATCTAAGCGTGCATTAATCTTGGTGCTTCTCTAATCATTTCAAGGGGGTATTCCAATTCTGAAGTCATTATGGGACTACTTTTAGTGGCTGACTTTTATTTAATTTTATTTCTTGAGAGGGGCAAGGTAAAAATATTCTTCATGGCAAGGTAAAAAGAATTAGGCGAGTTGG